TATAATATATATATATATTATAGAAAAAAAGATAAAGGTATCAACCTATAATAAATATGCCAAGTGCTAGGAAGTTGAAGAAATGAGAAATTTGTTTTGAAGATAAGAAAAATAAAGTCCTGGCTGGACACTGGCAATCATGTCTCTGCTGTGTTAACTGCTTGGCTGTGATTCTGGACTTCTGATTAGAACAGTCCCACAGGGCTCGTTTGTTCTATCTTTCCCAATGACACAAGGGTCTGTTTATCTTAGAGGCATGTATTTCTATGCTGTCACGTGCATGAGTACATGCAGTACTTATGCACTAAAGTCTGCTCAGGTTTTGAAGTGAACAGATCTTTGATAGCATGCCTCTTTAAGTGCTTGAATGAATGAAAAGACTATAATCCTGAAACTTTCCCTCTGTGAGCCAAAGAGCTGGGTCCTGAAAGCAAACGAACATCTCGTCGCGTTAAGCTTTGGCTCCTGTTGCATTCGGTCCAAGCTGAAACAGTCAGCTGCGTACAGTCCGAAGATCTGGGAGTTTTGTAAGGGGTGCTGGCAGCCTGGTGTGAGTTCTGTACTCCTCCCTTGTGAAGACATGAGAACAAAAGCAGAGCCTGCTCCTATGCTGCCAGTATATTACTTATACTATAATATACTTTTAAGTTACTTCTTAGCAGTGCTGCAGGAAATGCTGAAGGGTTGGGCTTTTTTCCCTTCTGTCCCTGTGAACAACACATTTCAGTAATCCGCCTTGGTTCCCTGGGAAACAGCTATAGGGTGGAATGTGAATCTATAGAATGGAGCTGGACTCACTCTGTTGCTGGACTGATCACCGAAGCTGCGGGTAGCGTTCCACATGGCAGACGTGTGTGGGTGTGAGACACACAAAAAAAGCAAATCCTTGAGGGTTTTTAATGCGCACGTTGAAAGTGAGACTCCGTTGAACTTTAGGGAGTCTACTCATTTGAAAGGTTTCTTAGGAAATTAGGTAATAACAGCTTGATTGAATTGGAGTGGGAATATAGCTGGAATGTCCATGAGAAAGAATTTTTAAGTGCCTGGAATGGAAATGCTAGCATGAAGCTCCCTAGTAATCAACTAGTAATATTAGGGTGTATTCAGGCTATGTTACAATATATATAATAATGGCACACAATTCATACAGCATGACTGTATACGTGTGTCTGCACTACACAGGCCTATTTTTAACACGATGGCATTTTCACTTGGCTTGGATTTTAGGCTTTGTTTTAGTGTTTAAGCTAAAACACATCTTGACAGCGGGCTCTGTACTGATGACTACTTGCAATCTGTGCTCTGTGATTTGGTCCCAGATTTTTCAAGATTGGCTTCTTTTATGAGATACTTCCTGTAGTAAGTCAAAAGATCTAGAGAGTACATTATTTTTGGTCTTTTTTCCAACCTAAACCCCAAATTTGGGGATGGAGATTGGGTGGAGGGAATTGGCACGAGGATTTTAGTTCAGTATGCTGAGCAGAAAAGCAGCACAGAGATACAGTGAAAAGCACGCTTGAAGTTTATCTTTGCCTTTCCTTGACGTTCACCCTGCTGCATTATGCGTATCCTCATTAGAGTAATGATGCCCCTCCTAAGCTGCAGCTAGCCTTAGAGATGCTACAAAAGCAGCTTCTGCTGGTGTAGCATATGGAAATCCTGACTGCACCCATCTTCTTTGTCCCCACCCACAGATCGAGTAGAAGCTCCTGATTCAGCTCAGTACAGCTGAGGAGTCAACCTCACTCGGATGTGGTCATCCCTCTGTCTAAAATGCGCTTGCCCACCTTAAGCCAACAATGGAAACTGCAAAATGGAAATAGAAAACTGCATCGAGCATCACTCCCCCATCTAAAGTACATGACAGGGAGTTGAAACTTCTTTTCATTTAAAGTTTAGAAATGATATGTTTTGCCAGCCTACTAGGATAACTACAGCCTCATATTCTAGCAGTTTCTTAAGAGATGAACCAGTATACTATGCTCTGTACTTGTGAAGGAGGAGTTTAGTTTTGCTGGTTTATAGCTTCTCTTTGTTTAACCTTCTTCAATTAACTATCTAAAATATAAGGCTTCTTTATGAATCCATTTCTCCCCTGGAGAAATACTGCATCTTGGGCAATATCAGTAAGGTGAAGCTGGACTACGTGCAGCAGACTGGACTCCACTGTAAAGCTCACTGCCTTCAGTCATCCAACCATATTTGAAACAGAAAGGCTGAACTAGGAAAATCAGTAAGACTGTACCTATCATCCTTTCACGTATCCCGTTGGATATACCACCAAGGACGGAGTGGTGAGAAAGGGAAATAG